AACAATGAACTGTACCCTAGTTACATAATGAACTGTGATATTGGCCCACAGACATTTTAACATTTTTAGTGACATTTTAAATCTACTGTATTTTTAACCCTTTACATTCTCCCCTGCTTTTATGAATGTTTCCTGACATTTGTCCACAAGGAGGGATGTACTTGAGTACTACAAGACATGTCAATATGCCTGGGTGAAGCAGTTATAGTAGCAAGGGTGTGGAGGTGCAAAGTATGGAAGGGGAACAGCACTAAGATGACTTGGGAAATAGTAGCTTGGCCTGTCCCAGTGTACCAAAGGTGAATATCTGTCTTGGCCTGGCGGTCTATTGGGATCTTCTGATAGCCTCTGCTTGGTGTTCATCCTCCTCTGCTGCCATGTCCTCCAGTAGCCTGTCCTGTGGTTCCTCCTCCACTGCGACATCCTCAAGAGCTCTGTCTTGTGTTGGTGGTACCAGAGGTTGCGCTAGACTTTTTCGTTGTCTGTCATTTTGACTGAAAGGGTCATAAAAATCCCGTCATAATCTATTTTTACCGGTCACTTTAATTTTTTGATGATAATAATGACATATTCAATAGCATTTAATTTGAATTCATTTTTAATTAATATTCAGTCCAGACAAGCTGAACAAATAATCCACACCATGGATACACACATCAAGCAGAAGAATATGTAACTTTTTCTCCGCAGTAACAAAAACAACTGACTGTGTGGCTCCAGTAGCTACATATGAACAATGAATAATGAAATATGAACAGTTCACCTGTGGCCTAAACGCACAGTCTCACAGTAGGAAATCCTGCAGCATGCGCTCCTTCTGCATCAGTGGTCTGTGACCCGTAGTGGTTTGGTCACCTCCGCAAGTACTCTGTGCGTAAAGATGAAAATGTCTGCACGTCTACATGTGTCAGTGTGACGCCAAAGAACCTGCAATCTGTCAAAATGACGAATGGCCCTCAGATTTTTCCGTCATTGACTGTTTTTAAAAAACGGTCTTTGACGGAAAATATTCAGTAACGCGACTAACGCGTTGATGCTCTGTCTGTTGCGATCTCACTAACTTGTAGCATGGGATCTGCTGGTAAGTGTACTCCTCCTCAGAGGTGTCTGTGTTGTCTTCATGAGTGTTGTTAACTGTCTGTTTCTGTTTTATTCAACTTTCAAGATTCTTTCCTTTTTGACATTGTGCAGGAAGTGTCTGTTCCAGGGGCAGTTCATTCACTGGCAGAAGTAGGTTCCAGTGAAGCACACGCAGTGTTTTAGATCCCTTCTCAGGCTGCACTTTATACACTGGGCTATTATCAATTCTCTCCACAACACAGTGCACTACCTGCTCCCAGTAAGCCCGCAACTTGCCAGGCCTACCTTGCTCTAACAGGTTTTTCACCAGCACTCGGCCACCTGGCTGAAGAATAACGCCCCTGACTGCTCTGTCATACTGTCTCTGCCGATCAGGTTTTTCAGACTCTCTCTTGGTTGGGAACAGTAAGTCAAGAGGTAAGCGTGGAGGTTGACAAGAGAAGGAATGAGGAACAGGCGGTGGCTGGTAGAAAAGGGAAGGACCAAGACGCAGAACTAAATACTTAACAAAAAGTGTCCTTTATTTAAAAGGTAAAAGTAACAAAAGAAATCTTCAATAAATCAAAAGGCAAAACGGGAGAAACAACGGGAAATACATGAACAACTTACTGAGGTCAAGGCAATATGTGACGAGACACATGAACATGGAGAAAATGATGATGAACCAGCAACCACATGGGGGAAAACAAAGACTTAAATACACACTTGAACTAATGGGTAACTCAGGACAGGTGGCACAGGACAAACAGGTGAGCATGACAAGGGCAGGAAGACAAATGGGGAAAACACACCAGGAGCAGGGACAACAAAATAAAACAGGAAAAGGGGAACACTGAACAAACTTAAAACATGAATTCAAAACGTAACAAAAACACTGTTTAAACAGAAAAATCCATAACCGTGACAAAATAATACCAAAACCGTGACAACAAGTTCATCATCTGAACCATAAAAAGCTAATTAGTGACTTTCAATAGTGCTGTTTCTGTGCTGTGATGGATTCTAAATCCTGACTGGAAGTAATCACACAAGTTAGCAACAGCTTTTTCTAGGATATTGGAAATAAAGGGCAGGTTTGATATGGGTCTATAATTAACTAAAACCTCTGGATCAAGAGTGTGCTTTTTTAGCAGAGGTTTAATTACAGCTACCTAAAAGCTTGTGGTACGTTACGTAGCCGGTTAACAAAGACATATTAATCTTATTTAATATGGACCTGTCAATCACTGGGAAAACTTCCCTAAAAGTTTAGTTGGGACAGACAATAGACAAGTTGTTGGTTTAGAGGACGAAACCAGTGAAGTCAGTTCAAAAAGATCTATTGAAGAAAATTGGAAAAAAGCTTCCATGATGCCACGTGTCTGAGAATTATACCATGGAGCTAATCTCCTCTGATTTACTTTCTTCTTCTTCAGTGGGGCGACAGCATCAAGGGTTGTTTTTAATGAGTGCTGCTGTACCATTAACAAAGTTTTCAACTAGTATGGCAATAAAGTTTTGATTACTCTTGTACTGTTGTGGTGGCAAGCATAAAGTCAAACACTTCTTTCTGTAAGTTTAATTCAGCATCTGCAGATGGATTCA